TGGAACCTGTATAACATACAGCACCACCGCTATATAGGTATCTCTGGAGTAAAGCATGAGCTCCAGGAAGGAAGGGAGAGAGGACGCTTAGAAGAAGACCCCAGTACAAAACTATTACTTTGCTTTCCATAATGCCATGGAACCTCTGATCTGAACTCAGAGTAAGAAGGACTTTGGATTGTAAAGTCTCGTCCGAAAGGTGTCTGTGACTGGTAACCAATTTATGACCCTCTGGAGGAAGACAGACAGCCAGACAGACAGACAGCCGTGCTCCTACCAAAACTTGAACCTTGGGTTTACAGATTCAGTAAACACTTCCTGTCCTGAACCAACATTACCTGTTCAGAATAGTTTTTGGAGCAATGCAGCTAAATATTCAGCAGCCTCATGAAGGCACTGAAAGGGGTCTCAATCTCTGTGCAAGGGATATACTGCAGACCTGACACACAAGTTACTAAACTGCCCCTCCCAGCAGTAGTCTCACAAGAAAGGGGGCAAATTCATCCCTGGAGTCATACCTTTGATTTCAGTGGAGGTATATGAGGGTGGCCCATTCACTACGCAAGGCTCTGGGGCCACGATAAGGTTGGATCAGTGGTAGGTCTCCTACATGGCTGCATGCAAAGCTGCTCAGCCCACCTGGGCCAATTCTCCCTCCCTGTACTGCAATCCAAACCAAAACCCAGGTGAGTTTTGGAGCGCTCTGGGCCTGCCCCTGTTTGCCTCCAAGAGCAGTTCATGATAGACTTTGGAACCGGTTCAATAGACTTTGGGAATGCAAGTCTCCCCTCTAGGGAAGATTATGGGACACCCAGCAGTTCTAGCACTAACTTCCCTATGGAGCAGTATACTGTCCCACAGGATGCCAGATCACACGGTTGCTTTCTGGCATGGACAAATGGCCACCATTGTCTGAACTGAGATCACCAAACTCATTGCACTTGTCGCCTAAACCAGATAGCAATAGGGGCATGCAACTGTTTCAAATGCCACCCCCTGAGCCCATCTCCCTGTGCACACAGGCTGTCTTTATTATGCAAACACAAACAGCTGTAACTATAGCAATGGGCACTGTGCTGGTAGGATACAGGGGAACACACTCTCAATATTTACCTTGTGTGTTTTCCCTCCTGCAATCTGTGGAGCTGGATCGCTTTTGCTGTTGCAGCTGTTGGTGACATGAGAAGGGCCCCCATGGGATGTCATGATCTTAGTAGGGTCAGACCAATAGCTGGCTTGGGGGCTTAAAGACCATTTCAGGTGTAGTAGGAAATAGAGCTGGTTTTCTGGGGGCTGGAGCACGTGACTTGTGAGGAGAGACTGAGGGAACTGAGCTTATTTAGTCTAGAAAAGAGGAGACTGAGAGGAGATTTAATCGCAGCCTTCAACTACCTGAAGGGGGTCCAAAAGAGGATGGAGCTAGACTGTTCTCAGTGGTGGCAGATGACAGACGAAGGTCTCAAGTTGCAGCAAGGGAGGTTTAGGTTAGATATTAGGAAGAATTTTCTCACTAGGAGGGTAGCAAAACCCTGGAACAGGTAACGCAGAGAGGTGGTGGAAGCTCCAGTCTTGGAGGTTTTCAAAATCCGGCTAGACAAAGCTGTGCCTGGGATGATGTAGTTGGGGATGGTCCTACATTGAGCAGGGAGTTGGACAAGATGACCTCCTGAGGTCCCTTCCAACCCTAATTTTCTCTGATTCACTGAGGTGTGATCCTACCTCCAGGTCAGGACTGGATCCAGTCTAACCATGCAGGTGGTTTCAGAGCAGAAACAGCTGCATTTGAGAGCTAAGGAAGCCATCTACCTATGTACATATGGACACCCACTATGACTTGTGATGTTCTTATGTAAAAGACTCTTAGCTTAGGCTAGCAGCAGAGCTGAAACCAGGACCATTAGCTCTGCAGTGCACACATCTATCATGGGAGCTTCAACAGGTAGCAGCAGAAGTAGCCTGTCATGCTGTGAGGGGACCAGTAACTAGATGAGACATGATGGGTGCTACATAAAAAACCCACCAGATTTAGGCATTCAAGACTAAGAGAGGCCTTTTGAGCCATAGAGTCCAGTCCCCAGCATTCAGACAACCATTTTTATACAAGGATTCCCCCAAATCATCACTTTAAACCCTCACACACAACTATGAGGCACAAACCCAGAAACACCAAAAACACCCCACAAGAGTACATAGGTAAAACCAAGGGAGACCGAGGCACTGCCAATGCCCTGCCCTTGCAATAACAAAGAGAGGTACTAAAATGAGGTAGGAAATCTGTTCAGCAAAGCCAGTAGGTCAGGAGCAGTTCAATAATTGAGAAAGGATTGTGTGGCATGAAGGACAAAGGCTAGGAGTTAAAAGACCCATCCTGACTTTTGCTTCATCTATCTGTGCCTCAGTTTCCCTTCCCATCCTTTGCCTGTTTCATCTGTTTTGACTGGGATCCCTTTAAGGCATAGTGTCTCTCATTGTGCAAATAAGCATGCCACATTTAACATCATGGATCCCTGATACTAGCCAGGGCCTCTGGGGACTACTGTTGTACTGACCATAACTGCAGAATCAAGTCCAAACGAAAAAGAAGTCTCCCTCTCAGCCCCAGTCACAGGTGAAGGTGGTCACAGAGGCCCGGCCCTATGAGGATCTATGGTCCAGAGGACTGCAGTCCAGGATGACTTTAGTCAGGCGTAATCAAGATGAGAGAGCAAGTCCTTTCAACAGGGATCAGGGAGGGGATACACTCTGTGAGGTCCCTGGATAGACTGACATCTGCTGCCTGTTTCTTTCAGTCTGTATTAAGTGCTGTCTAGTCCCCAAGCCGCCTCAGATCTAGTGGGTTACCACTTGCTGTTTTGTTTTGTGCTCTTTCTTCTCCGTTTTCCCTCCCGCGCCTCTCTAGTTAAGACATCAGAAGTGAGATTTGTCACTTAACCATCTGGAATCAACGCTCACTGGAGGCTGCTGCTCCTCAGCCTGTCACACTCTTAAACAGCGCTAATATAATTCAGATGTTTTACAAACCATCAACGACAACCGGGCATGAAATTAAAATGTTTGTGAAGCTCGCCAAGTGGAAAATGATGGCTGGGGTAGGGAAAGGCAGGTATAGGGATGGATTTGGAGGTGGGAGGAGGGAAGCAGTGCCAGGGGTCCTTTGCCTCCTGGCACCCAAATGCAGCTGCTACATCAGCTCTACCTTCAGGAGGAAGGAACTGTGCAAACAATAAGAGGAAGAGCTGAGGGGACAGACATCATCTTGGCAGGCACGTGGAAAGAGAATAAGCTTTTCTCTCCCACCTCCTTTACCACATTCCCCACAGATTGACACACCTGGTGGTTAACCCATTAAAGCCATTGCAGTGGGGGTGTCATCACCTCCTCTCAGCACAAAGCCAGTCCAGCCCCGAAGTCCCTTCCTTCTCATAGCTCTGCCCCTTCAGCATTTTACCCTAAATGCACATCTCTCCTTCTGGCACTCCCAAGCCTTGCTGCCGCTTCCTCAGCTTTGTCCATCTTTTTGGGCCTGGCCAAAGAAACCCTAGTTTCTTGTTAAGGGAAGGAGGGCAAACAGGTGGCTACCAATTCATGCCACCTCTGGCTGTTCTGGGATCCAGGGAGGGCAGTAGTCACAAAGGAGGATAGCAGGGCTGTTGCCACAGTGTACGGGCAGAGGTTGTTTGCTGTTCACCTTGGCTTCACCTTCTCCTTGCTCGGCAGATCAGCCAGGCCTTAATGCCTGATGGTGTGCCTCCTAGACTCCTGCTCTCTCCGCTCTGTATAGGATTTACCCCCAGGCCCTAGAGATACCTTGCAAAAGGACCATCCAGGGCAATGGTCTGGTGCAGCAATCTCTGCTGTGGGGAATGTGTGCACCAGTTAGTTAGGGCAGCCCTGCAGACTGCATATGCCAAATGCTTGCAGGAGAAGCTGGTTCCCTGCATTGAGTGGGGCACCAAGGCACTGGACCCCTGTTCAGGTGACCTCAGTGTGTTGCTCAGTAAGTCCTAAGCCTGTGCTGCCTAACAGCTGGTGCACAGTCAAAGGCACAGGCTTGCATCTTGTCCCAAAGAGTTTACAATTCAGCTCAGATACAGGGAAACTCCCCATACTAGGCCATCCCCTCCTATAAGAGCTGCCCTCCACTCCTCATTCCTGGTTTCCAACCTGATACTCAAGAGCTGTGGTGAAGGAGGTCCCTGCTGGAACTGGCTACCACAGAATGGAAAGGTTTCTAGCTCCACAGAGACTGGTGCCTGGGAAGGGCTGCATCCCATCCACTTGTCTAGGTGGACTAGAAGTGATCCCAGGCAGCTAAGCTGGGCACATAGGGAGGAAAGAGTCCCAGAGAGGAGAGGGCTTTGACAGCAAAAAAACTGGGTCAGCAAATGGAATCGTTTTAGCCAAGAACCCTGTCCTGACCCCTGCTGCCAGCAGCCTGCCTCAGTTCTCCCTTCACAAGTTCACCCACCTTACACCTCCCCACCCCCCTTTTCAAATGCCAGCCAGGAGGAAACCAGCACTTGAAGGGTTAAACTAGATTGGGAAACCACCAGAAAAGTAAAGGAGATGAGAGATCCTCCCACACATACACCCCGTACATGTACACACACACTGGAGATGCAGGATAACAGCTCATTTCCCCCAGACTGGGAAGAGGACAAGAAGCAGGAAAGCCATGGAGCATACAATTGCCCCAGGCCAAGTAGCACCCTAAAGAAGCCAGAGATTAGAAGGGTACTCAGTGCTAGGGGGAAAGAGAGATGTTCTGGGTACAGAATATAGACTAAGGTGCTAAAGGCAGCTGGTTTTTATTTCACACTGTGGGATGCTTCTATTAGCAGGGGGCAGAGAGGGGTTTAAAATATTTTCTAATTAAGGAGCAAACTTTCCTGGGAGAGCAATTAAGCTCAAAATGTCCCTTGTTTGATAAGGTTCATGTTGCAAGCTCTGGAAACCTTTCTGAGTTCTAGCAATTAAACCACATTCCCCCTCTTTTACAGAAATTTTCTTTCATCTCTGCCTCATTCAGCCTCTCCAGCACCCCCTAGTGCAAGAAGCGAGACAAAGAAGGGTGACATGCAAGCTGAGAGGTGAGAACAAGATATGGGATCTGGGGGTGGGGAAGGAATAGGCTGCACAAATGGAAATAGTGTCTTATATTTGTACTCTCCCAAAACGATCCACACCTTCCCATTGGAATGCAGCCACTTCTGGGGTGGGATGTGACAGCCTTTCAACTGTTTCACAACCAGTTAGTATGGCAAGGGAATGATATATTTAGCTGAAAAGCAGCAAGGAGAAATTTAGAATCCAATTGCCCTTATAAGCATGAGCAGCCAGGTCCCATCCAGAGAATAGCTCACCCTTTGACAACGCTGAGGCACTAGCTTAGTGCTACCACTAGATGGAAGAGATGTGCTCACCAGAACCACATGTTTCAACACCAAGGTGCTTTTTGACATCTCCCATCAAACCATGCCTTATCTTCAACCTCTTTAACCTGCAAGAACTAAATGGCCTGCAGAGTCCTAGTAACTTCCTGTCTTTCCCATTGTGTGCCATAGGTTTGACAGCACTCCTGGGGTTTTCCACATCTCTCACAGATAGTTGCCTAATGATCAGGGACATCTTCCACCAACATACCAACCTGCTGTATACCTGGTGAGCTACTAATGTTGGTCTGCTACCATCAAGCAGGGCTGGTCAGTTGAGTAATGCAGTGGTCAGGGCTCTGAATTTAATTCTCAGCTCAGCTGAAGAGTCAGCATTTGACTTTGGGTAAGGCACTTAATTGCTCTTTGCCTCAGTTTTCCCTTCTGTAGATTAGAAATAACGACATTTTCTTAGCCTGTGTTGTTCTTTGGGTGGTTAAGCACCAGAGTACATTTCCTAGAGCAACTGTGAAACCTCCCTCTTTGGAAATTTTTAAGAGAAGGTTACCCAGACAAGTAGTTTGTCTGAATTGGTTAAAGCAGAAGTGATCCTGCCTTGAGCAAGAGGTTGGGCTAGATGGCCTCCGGAGGTCCCTTTTACCACTACTGTTATATGATTCTATGACAGTCAAAAACCAGTACAGTAATCACTTTTTTTGACTGAAATTTTCAAAAAATACTTCCCCCAGAATTTTCCATGAAAAAATATTCAGCTTTTCTATGAAGAAAGTCATTTATTTCCCCTTTCACTTATTTCCTAGTGACAAATGGATAAAGGGCAGGAAAGGTAGAGAAAGGGAGGAAACCTAAAAAGTTCAGGATTGTTTTGCATCAAAAACCCCAGAAAACTTGGACAGAAATGAAAAATTTCCACCAAATCTTTTGTATTGGATAAAGGCCACTTCTCATTTAAAAAAAAAAAAAGGATTTCAAACAAAAATGTCACTGCTTCTAATTAGAAGCTCTTCAGGGCAAGGACTCTCATGCTATGTGCACGTGTAACTCCAAACACAATTATCATCTCTACTATATAAAGTTTTTAGCATGGTAAGAACTAAAGTGCATAGCCAGATTGGACTTCAGCGTGGTGGATTCTGTATAGACTCATGATAAATGACTGCCCTGTTCCAAAGAGCAAATAGGGCTGTCTTCTCTATTAGGGTATCCACTGTCATGCAAATAATTGAATGTCATTGGCTTATTTGGCTAACCCTGAGTCCTGGCTGTTCTAGGTTGGGTCATTATGCTATGTAAGAGTTACCATGCTCTACCCATGAAGTAGTTGCCCATCTGTGAAGCAGGGTGAAGGGATTACAGTGCATTCTGTGACAAGCAAAACAAAGAGAGGTAAATGGCTGATATAGTCCTCCGTACCAAAGCAACAAGCACCACATTCATGCTGGTATTCCCAGACCATGCCTTGCTTAGATCTCCTGTCCAAGCCTTAAAATTGAATAAGGGTGGAGAAATACTTACAGTCAGCATGGACAGCAAGAGACAGCAAGATATATATATGCACACAAGCACACACACAAAGTAAAAGGGACATCAACAAGAGAGATGCACATAAGAGAGACACACAGGCAGACAGAACAGGGAAATGCATGTGTGTAGGATTTCAAAGATAGAAAGAAACAAAAAACACAGGTGAGCAAAAAAGAATGAATAAACAGGGAGGGGAGAGAAGCGAGCAGAAGAAAAGACAATGGCAAGAACTGAAGTGGAAGACTGGTTGGCATTAGGCCAGAGGTTCAGCGATTGAAATTAAACACCTGTCAAATGGGGCATTTGACAGCAAAGCTGGCATGGCTGAGGCAGGGGATGGACAACAGTGCTGCAGGATAAGGTGGGAACTGTGTCCTACCTGCTGCTCAGCTCCCAAGGGAGATAGACTCCATCCAGCCTGCAAAGCTGGCCGCACCCAGCTGGACCATAAGAGGTGGCTAGAGTGAAAGACACAGATACGTGCACACAGCCCTGAGAGTCCTGAGGCAGTAAAGGGCTTCTGAGTCACTTCAGAAATGTTCCCTGCTCTTTGATCTCATAAGAGCAGGGACTTTCCTCTAATCCTCTGACATTTTCATTGCCAGCTGCTGGTGAGTCAGTTGCTGCAAAGCTGGACAGAGCAGAAGGCTGAACTGCAGCATTTGACGCTGGATATTGAGGTGGAGTCCTTGTGAGTCTGGGAACAAGCTGATTCCCTTGGTGGAAGTGGGATCTGTAAGTAATCCGTTCTTTCTGCCCCTGTCAGAGCACGTTCGTTGGACACATGATAATGAGGGACACTTCCACCAGAGGCAAAAATTATTGGCCGCTGCAGGTGACAGGATGTGAGATCCAGGCCCAGACCTTGTGCATATATCTCAAATGTATGTACAAGGCAAAACAAATGATAGTCTTTGGATGGGACAAGCTATAAGGCATGCTGGCTGAGAGGAGCCCAGCACAGGAATCTGTGGGGCTACAGACTGACACAGCCCCCCCAAGGGCTCACCCAGCAATCCCCAGAAGCAGCGACATGGTAGCTCACGCCAGGCCAGCATTCGCGCACACACTTGCTCTTTCTTCTCTCATTCTTTACTCTCTCGTCTTTTCCCTCACACAGTTTTACCCCGTTCCTCACTCATGCCTTCCCTCATTTCCTTTCTTTCCCACTTTCCTTTGCTCTCCCCACCTGCCTCATACTACCCCTCTCTCTTTGCCTCCCCTTCACAGCTCTCCAGGGAGCTTTCTAATGACTTAAATGAAACTCCAGCCCTCTTTATCTTCACTCGCCCTCACTGCTGGATCCCCAGAAGAACCCAGCCACGCACAGCAATTAGGAAGCTAGTGCCTGGGGCTGCTGCATTTGCAGCATCAGCACAGGGATCCTGTCTGTCCTCTCAGAGCAAGGGAGAGCATCTCTGGAAAGTCTGGAGCATCGCTGTCTCCCCACCCCCAAGGAAGGCCCCAGGGTTAGCAAGGACATTTTCCTATAGGCCTTAGCCTATAGGCAGCTATCCCAGGACAGGTAGTAGGGACACATGTTAAACAGGGCACTGCTCCATCCTGCTACTTGTCCTTGAGAAGCCCAACCCCTTTCTGATCCCTCTACCCCCCCTCCATGGGCAGTGAAGGATCTTCAAGGAAGTTGCGGCAAGGCCTTTGACAGAGATTTAGAGAGCTACAGGGGCATGGCAATTACATTAACAGAGTAGGGGCAATTAGGAACAAAGCAGGAGAGATGACGGAGATAGCCAAGGATGCAAATCAGGCTGCGTGGAGCTCTCCGCCGCAATCATTACAGGGAATTAGGCTTCATTTAAATTTCTCAGGAAACCTTTGTAAAATCAACCTGGGCCCCAGAGACAGAGCACACAGATGCCCCTTTTCCCTGTCAACACCCATTACTGCCCTGCCTCCCCTCCTGTTGGCACCTCTTGAAACCAGTGGAGTTAGGTATCTAGGCACTTTTGAAATTCCCCCTGGACACCAACCTGCCTCCTTAGGTACCTACCTGCCTTTCTGATCTGGCCCTGACTGGCCACACTAGAGCCCAGGGGGGAGCAGTGGGTTTCCCAGCATGCTGTGCTCCCCAGCAGCATGCAGGACGTAGCACTATTTATTACTAGGGGTGGCTGACCCAGTTTGGACACACTAAAGGGTAGCCTGAACCTGGGCCCAACTTTGGCAGAACCAGCCCCAGTAGCATAATGAGGAATGGGTGAGAGGGGCACCTGCCCTAGATGCCAAGTTAAGAGGGCTAGTGGAATTGCCCCCCACCCCTGTGGAGTCCACGTCCCAGCAGCATAGCCATGCCGGGAAGCCCCAAACAGTCCCCAGCTGCTGCTGCCACTGCCCCTTTAAAAGCAACAGCTGGGGCAGGCAGAGCCTGTGGTGGCAGCAGCTGCAGCTCAGCCAGGGGCTGTTTAGGTGTTCCTGGCATGGGTAAGACTGCTGACCACCCCCTCCAACTCTTGAATCCACACATACCTCCCCCCCCACACACACACACGCTCCCTCAGGTTTTGACCTGGGTACCAGCTCTCCTTGTTATACCACTGACCGGCACTGAGAGGGGCTTGGGACTCTTTTCCCCATGGCAGAGTATAACAGGGCACCCCATATCCACACCTGAGACTGGGAAACATCGGGGTCAAATGACTTTATTAGACTAATGCCCTCTCCTTACTAAGAGGCCCAGCAAACTCATCACAGCTACTCTTTCTCAAGATGCTGCTCCCAGTATCAGTCTTGGAGCCCAACCATAGTACTGTCCACAGTCTCTCCTTAGAGATGTATAGACATGACCTGTCTGATCCCTGCTCTAGGACTGAGGCTTCTGAGGGGCTCAGCATTTCCGGCTCTGCACTGATCCCATTATGTCTCCTTCCCTTAGATGCAGTGGAGAGGTGAGGGGGACTCCCCATGCCACATTATGGTAGTTGAACTGCAAGCTGAGGAAATGAGATCTGCCCTGGCCCTAATACTTTCCCCAGCCCTGAGTTAATCACAGTTATCCCTGAAGTCCCCCAGGCTTTCCAGTTCCCACTGCACTGCCCACAGCATCTGTGAGATGGCAGGCCCTATACTAGCCTTGTTGTTAATTAATGACATCTCAGAAGCTTGGTCCCATTATGCTCCATTCTGCTGCCAGTGTCTCCAAATCCTTAACTTCTTAGCTGCTATACCACCTCCTCCCTTTCTCCCTTCTCCACCCACCAGAGCCTTCCTTTGTCAGTCCCTTTTCTACGTGCTGATAAAAAGCCTTATTTTAAAGAGCCTCTGGAGGAAATGTTCCCATTACAAACCGTTTGGCTTTCCTTTGATATTTTCTGTTTCTCTTGCCTGCTTTCTTTGCTCCCCTCTGTTTGTATGAAAATAGGCACTTGCCTCCAAACAGGCACTCCTGGGATTTCCAGCTTAGTATATACTCTCTGCTAGGAATTTGTGGAGAGGACTTGGCTGTCAGAAAGGGCAAGGACAAGGACTCTGTGTGAGAACAAGCATCAGGTGTCACAGGAGGGTGCAACAGAATGGCAGAGTCATTTTGCTATAACTCCAAACACTGAACTTTAAATGGGATTATCCTTAAAGCTTCTAAGTCTGTCTCTTCCTGTGTTGGCAGAGCTCTAGCCAGGAGCCTTCACCAGTTTCCCATTTTGCACGCTACAGATTTCAACAGCACCCATGATTTCACATCAAGAGCAAAAGAGACTCCCAAAGGGCCAGGCAGCCTGTGATACAGTTGTCCCTGGGGTGAATTAGAAGGTTTGTTCCAGTGAGGAGTAGAAGATACGTCATCTGAATGCCTTCCTACTCTTGGGAAGGGAGAGTAGTTTGGTGAGGCTGAAGCAGGCAATTAGGACTCAGTGTCCCTAAATACTAGTCCCACATCTGCTACTAACTCACGTTAAGATCATGAGCCAGCTGTCATTCCCCACTTAGCCTCAGTTTCCCCACCTCCTCAATAAGGACAGCCTGTCTTACAGAGTTCATTAGCGTGCGTAGAATATTGCTGGAAAAGGCAAAGTGTTATTTTGACTCTCATGACAAAAGTAGAAAGGTTTCCACAAGGTGCCATCTGCTTCCTTCTTTCTTAGGGGTCACTTTTGAAAGATTCAAGTCTTGCAAAGTCCTCCTAAAACTGTTATTAATACACACAGACACACACCCCTGCCTATCAGTTACCAAGCACCCCTTGAATGAGCAATTAAAGTGCTATGCAGAAGATCAGAATCAACAACTTCCCTTTAGTCTCAAGACCTTTGCAATTGCTCTTCCTACAGCTTCCTCCTATCCTTCCCTTCATCTCTGGAAACAATTCCTTGGCTCCTCCAAGAGGCTTCAGGCATCTTGCTTTCCCCTTTGTTCTTCATTTCACCTCATCTTGACATGCTAGCCAAGTTCGGAGACTGAGAACAATGGGCATGAGAAAAAGCTATGGCTCAGATGTGCATGAAGTGTCACAAGGGGAACCGTTCTGCATCTCAGAGAAACTCATGAGCTGCATGGCTGTGGCTGTCAGGTGTCACTCATGAGGCCCTTGATTGGCAAAGCGAGGTATTTCCAAGGCTGGCACTTGACTGCTCCAGCACGTGGGCTCTAATACATTCAGAAAGAGGAAGACACAATAAAGGTGGGGAGAATGAAAACCAGCTGGCACTGGCTTATGCCAGAGAAGGGCAGAAAAAAATTCCTAATTTCAGAAGCTCATTGCAGTGTAATTATCAAACGGCGACAGTAGGCTGAGATGCTTGCTAATTAGGCCACATTCTTTATGACTAGTTATTCTAAGATGTCATTTGACAGACGTGTGGGGGGGCACACACACATAAAGTTGTTTTTTAATTACATTTGGTATGCTAATTTCTGATATAAAATAAATATTTACCGGGAGCAATATTTCTTCATTTCACGCTGGCTGCACTGTGGCATTTATCAAGGGTTACAAACAGGCTGCTATCGCCTGGCCCTCCCTGACAGCACCCACTGCCCCCCCTTCTTCAAGTTCTGAGAAAGGGTGACACACACACTCCTTGAGTGATCAGGGCACAATATGTCAAGGAGGGACAGATCCAGCTATGAACTGGAAAGGGAAGAGCCATGCGAAAGGAAACCTTCCCACTTCAAAGTGTTTTCCTTTACCTGAAGTAGCCCCTTTGGGAGCTGCGTTCTCACTGTGTGCCACACATCCCCTGCAAGCAGCAGCCAGCATGAAGGGAAAAGACCCCGCCTAGCACTTCACTGCAGTTCAGTGTCTCTTGGAGGCTATATCTGCGCTACCTCGGTCCTTAACAGAAGCGCCTAAAAGCAGTTGTCTCATGTCAGAGGCATCCCGGCTCTTGTACAGTGAATATGCTGTAGCGACAAGGACAGTGAATGAACTGAGAATGTAAACCCCAAATCAGGGCTTGGACTAGGGAATTGCAATTGGGTTAGGGAAGGGCAGGGGGTGGATGCGCAGGGGAGCAGGTGCGTTTATTGTAACAGGTGCGCAGTTTCTTAATGTGGTTTAAGGTGTGTGTGTGTGTGTGTGTGTGTGTGTGTGTGTGTGTGTGTGTGTGTGTGTGTACACACACACATATATATATATAAAGAATATGCCACACTGGCTGCCCTGGAGTCTAACCGTCTCTTCATAGAGCAAATGGGATGTGGCTGATGGCAGGGCACAAAGTTACCT